TATTTGCAGCTTTTTGGAAGCCACAAAAAAGGGCTTCATATTTTTATTCTATTTTTAATATTGACTGCGTGCCTTAAATGACCCAGGACCGTGTCTAAACCTCAGAAAACGGCCCGTGACCATGGAAAAGAGATTGAGCGCGACTCAAACCGGCCAGTTCTTGTTCGGCGGTTTTCGGGCCGAAAGAAACCGAATTTCGAGCCGCAAATTCTGTTCTGGGCAGTTGGGCTCCCATATGTCACGTACAACTAAAAACCTTGGCGAGCATAAATACTTTTAAACCTTATACATACCATGGACCAACTAGCCCAAACCAAAGTTTTAATAAATACTCTGTCAGTGTCCCTTTAAACCATATATTAAGTATTATTTTTTTGTGAAATTAGCTTATGCTTGCATCCATTGCTTAGATATGGCCTTTGATGAATGTCCACATTTTCTTTCTTTTTTTTTTTTTTTTTTGAAGGGCTCTTCAAGCTGCCTCTCGGAAGGCCTTTTCCTCCGTCCCACCTCCCCGCAAATCATGTGATAAAAATTAATGAATTTTTAAAAAAGAAAAAAAAAAAAGCACGTTTTTTCTTTTGACTGTCATTGTTTACCGTTCCTCTTTCGCCCACACTATGAGTTGCAGTTTTTAGTTAGCGAGGAAGGCTAGCGGACACAGGTGTCGCTGTTGTCGCGGCGTCGTTAAATCGCTGGATATCTTGACTTATCCAAGTATCGCCATCACTTGATCGTGCCGCGGGTGCTCCTACTGGATTCCGGCGACGCGTCGCCATTTTTTGGCTAATGGCGCATCCCACATCCAGAGGCGCACGTTCCTATTAGCGACGAGATGTTTCGGTGGCGCCCTCGTTCGGTTACCTTACGTGACGTCATTATTTTGTGAACAGCAAGCTCGATAGTGTTTGTAATAAGCATTCTGGAAGCCTAAAATCATAGCGCTCTCAAAGCAACGCTGCCAACACCGTCCAAATTGAAGTTCTGACATTCCTCTTATTTCCGCCGATGAGACATCCTTTGCTGACGTCATAGTCAGCATTCGGCCAATTGTAGTGGGCCGACCACAGCGACGCTTTCGATCGCTCACGTCGCCAATACTAATGTGTTGTGGCTGCGGGTGACGCGCCGCCGTTTGCGAGCACGCTTCCATTGGTCTACTGTAGATGCAGGCGCCGCCCCGCCGCGACAAACAAAATTGGCGGCGACGCTCCGTCATTTTTGACTCAAGTGTGTCCCAGCCATAGAGTTATTACAATAAACGCTAGAGGCTCAGCTGGCGCTAGTGTCTACGGGACTTCCGGTTGCAAATTGAAGCAGACAGCATGCAGTCTACTTTTCCAGTCTTCCTGTGTATTCCTATGGGAAAACGCGCGTGAATTTTGTCTCGTTGCCGGAAAATAACATGAATAACTTTTGTTATTTCGGTTGTACCGGGTAGTATGTACCTTCATTAATATTGTGAAAGTGTAATTGCTTCAGTTACGGCGTTTTTTCTTTACGAACGAACGATGCTAAACTTCGCTATATTTCAGTCCCAAACCCCTGTTCCATGACAGGTATGTAGAAACGAGCGAAGATTCTAAGCAAAATAACGATCGAAAGGAATGTAGAGAGTGTTCAAAGTTCGCCAGCATTCCGTTGGTGCTTATATATCTTGCTAATATGCCTGTCCTCTCACTATATGAAAATGACCCCGTCGTGCATCTTTACGAGTGGTTAGAAAAACGTTCGAAACGTAAAGAAGAAAGTACGCGGGCTACGAAAGGTGTGTTTTCTTATTATTTCCTATGTTTGGCTGTTTTTATCGCGCACCGTTCTCTGGCTTCACCCTATTTGCAAAGTTTTGGAGCGTGCGGGGGATAATTTCAACACAGAACTAGCATCTTCGCACATATTCATGAGCACAGTGGCGTACCAACTTGTTTTTGAGTGGGGGGGCAAACCAGACCCTCTCCCCCCCCCCCCCCCCCCAAATCGAAAATTCGGCGCAACTTTTGTCCAACTTTTCTAAAGATTTGGCAATGATTCGTCAAAATTACAACGTTACCAGACTTAACATTGATATTTTGTTTTTTCTCACGAAAAAAATTTTGCTTCTTCTTCTTAAAATAAATACAACTTGTAGTGCCTATTGAAAGAGTTATGACTAAATAAGGTGATATTCTAGAAGATAATTGTATCGATGTCGCTTTTGTGTGTTTACTTGTAATTTTGGTGTATGCTTCCAGAAAGTGGCGTGACAACGAGGTTGGGTAGTAGCCGGCACAGTCACGAATCACACTACGAGAGCTTTGATTTTGAGGCTTCATCAGCGCACGCCTGCAAGTGTGTTTACATTGTTAAAATAAAGGCAATCACTGCGTTCTTACTTTCTCTGGTAGTCGCCGTTTCGTGCGCGAAAACGGATGCAGCGGTTGCTGAGCCTTCACCAGAAGAGATAACAATATTGTAAATATGCATGTTTTTCGATTTAAGTCACTTGACGTCAGCTTTGCATGAAAGTGCGCGTTCCATATTCGCAACGTGCCGTTTTTAACCTTTAAAATTCCGGTTTCTGGTGTTCGGACACACACGGACGTTTAGGAAGATGGGGAGAGTTAGGAATGGTCGGATGTGCAACGTCGACCATGACAGTTCTGTGTTTAACGAATATTTTTCATCAGTGTTTACTAACGAGTGCTTGGACTCCGTCCCCACTCTCCCTGAAAAGCTTTACGAGCGCATGCATCCTATTAACGTTAACTCCGCCGGTATTATAACATTGATTGATAAACTAAAACTTACTTCGTCCGCTGGAACCGATAACATCAACTCTAAAATTTAAAAGAAACACCAGTGTTATTTCGAGTGAGTATTTAAAACTTATCTTTATTCAGTCCTTATCTCAAAGGTGCCTTCCATCTGACCAAAAGGTGGGAAGGGTAATTCCCAGTCTTTTACGTTTACATTACATTTATATTCTAGTAATTCGTAGTTTACTTTAACTACTTTTCCGAGTGACTTCCACTCAAATTACAAATTACTTTCTAATTTTAGTGGTTGTTTTGCCTATCAACACAGAAAAGATGTCGGAAGGTCAGCTGATATTTGCAGAGGGGGAAGCATGCGGAGTAGAAAAGGGGGGGATGGGAAGGAAGAAAGTGATTTAGATAGTCCAAAAAACCCCAACATTTTAACGAGCCCCCCCACTGCAACAACACTGCTACGAGGCGCGGGGAGCGAACAGACACGACGCAAGAGAGGTCGAGTAACTGTGGGATTAGCTCCGAATAGTGGCGTTTCTTTGTATTCCGAAGCTCAAGGAGACTTGACGCATTTGAAGAAAGGGCTTATCCCCGCTTCTCTCCAATGTAGGAAATCTTGCCCACTACAGGGGGTGCACACACTGCTCCTTTTACGGTGCAGGCGATAGAACCCCTAACAACGACGCTCACGCCGGATGGGCTGCTCGTGTATCACTCGAAGCGCGTTAACCCACCCCCGCGCCTGCGTTCACGCCGCTTCGCGGTGACGGTGTGCGGCTGCTAATTACAAATCTATTAACCCACCTAGCCCCCCCACCCCCCGTACACGCCGCTTTGCGGCGTCCGGTCGGCAACCCAAGCCCCGCTGCCCCCCATGCACTTCCGTAGAGTCGATACGATTTAGTTTAGCGATGTTTCGTCAACAACATTCGTTTTTTTAGTGTTAATGGTAAAAAAGAAATGTAAATATCGCCAAATGCCTCGAGAAAACAAAATGTTCGAGAAAAAAAATAAAAAGAAGTAAGCCGGCCCACACCATAAATAGAACCCGGGTCTGACACGTATGAGGCAGACATCTCACCACTAAGTTACGCTACTTCTTCGGAAACTCGCATTGCATCCGCTGCCTATGTTGACGGCGGCAGCGCCTATCTCCAAGCAAGCAAGCAAAACTTTATTTTGTGTAAGGGCCTACGTCCTGGTCTGGACGGCCCGTCCGGCCCATGTCTCGCGGATGGATTCCGTTAGGTTACCGTGTAGCCTTGTTCGTGGGGCAAGGCTCCACAAACCAGCCAATCCGGCGTGCGTGAGCACCGTTGCTAGGGTTTGTATCGCCTGCGCGTTAAAAATATGCCCGCGCGGGTCGAGGGGCAGTGCCCTTGGTATTCCTTGGGCGCCGCCGGCCTGTGTCTGCTCTGCCCAGTGGCGGCCGTTTCAGGGGGGGCAAAACGCATGCCTTGCCCCCCCACTCTGAGAACTGGGGGGGCAAGTGCCCCCCTTGCCCCCCCGGTTGGTACGCCTATGCATGAGCAGAAAGAATAAAGCAGTACTTTTTTATCGCAAATCGGACTATATTACGTTACTTTATATTTATTTTGATCGTCTGCAAGCACAAGGAGTCTTATCCAGTGTTACTGCGTAGTTCTTGCCGTCTCTCTTGGTTTTCCACATGTCCTTCGTTTGACACGTATATCCCCAATGCTGAAAGGCGTCGACGCCGTGTTCGCGCTAACAGTGTCCGACAGTGCACATAAATACACGTACGAAGCGGTTTTAACACCGTTTTTCATACCGCGAATTTGAAATAAAAATAGTGTAACTGACCAATTATTTCGTCTGCGTGACTGAGAAATGTTCCAATGTGCCTAGTACGTACAAATTATTAGTGATATTTGCTCTTATAATCGAGCGCAGAGAGAAAATGCACTCGCTTTTTCCCATAGAAATGCATTACCGGAAGTCAATTTCTGACTGCTTGCTGTCTGCTTCAAAATGCAACAGCACACTAGCGCCAGCTGAGCCTCTAGCGTTTATTGTAATAACTCTATGGTCCCAGCATGTACCAGCTTGGCGGTACTTGCTCATAAATTTCAAAATCATCCAGCGCTGCTTCGCCCGAGTACGGCGATTGGCAGTGCTACACAGATATGACATCAGAAAAGAGAAATCAAGTGGACAAAACAAATACCCAGCAAAATCGGGTAAACCGAAGATGATCTCCCGGTGGCTCAGGCAGGACACTTGGCCACTTACCGCCGTACACCTGCTCGGCAAACTTCGAAGACAGGTCGCGTTTTATCCTCCGGACTTCCTGCAACGGGGTTTGATTGTTTGGCGTATACGACGACAACACACGAATATGCTTGGTGCAGGAGTGCGTCGCAAAAGCGGCTGGCAAATAGGTTTTCGAGTTTACGGGAATGCAGCGCAACGTACGCACCTTGTCCATTGTAAAAACCTCAAGATCAAGATGGGCCGCGTGTAAGATGGTTCCAGCCGGGGTTTCGTAGACGCCTGAAAACGAGCGAAGCTTTAAGTTTAGGCCAATTGGTACGTGACATATCTACATTCCCAGAAGGGACCGAGTCTACGCTGCACCGCTGTTCACTCTGAACGACAACCATTGATCGTGCTTCATTCGGATCAACCAGAGAGCAGGGCTGGGCAGAGATGCGAGCAGAATGACGAAAAAAAAAAAAGTACGAGCAGAGCTTTCCGTTTGATCGTCTCAATCGCTTAACACGAATATTGAGCTTACCTCGTGACTTCATGCCGATCACTCTGTTTTCGACGATGTCGATACGACCGATACCGTGGCGCCCCCTGCGGGATTAAGGCATCGCGAGTTCAAATCACATTCCTGGAATTTCAGTGCAAAGCGCAAGTTCGTCTGCTTCTCGCACATGTCAGAACGCCGAGCATTTATTGGCTGATCGAAAACAAATAGGGGGTCGACCTCGAGGCATCTAGCATTAAGGTCTACCCACTCTATCCTTTCAATCGAAGCCAATCAGAGCTCGGCGTCGTTCTGACGTCACCGCAATTCCTGCGCTACAGGCAGACGACTTGCTCCCCGCATAGATGCGGGTGCTGTGTGCCTTTGCGCATTCGTGCAATCACAAACAGTAATACCGCGATGGCCGAATAGACCCTTTTCGATCAAGCAACATTGGCGGCCGCCATTTCTGGGGCATGAAGCGTGTGATTGGATATGAGCCCTCGCCGAACGTTGATGCAATTGTTAACCCTCGTGTTCATACGTGTCCAAGGAACGGCCGACTCGGGTATTTGGCGCAGTATAGCCACTACATGACGAACGCTTTTGAAAAGTCTCTATTGTCCCCTCACTCCGGAAGTCCTTAGATGTATTCACTCGAAACATCAATCACAATCGGTATCACGGACCAACGACCAGCTGGTCTCAACGGAGAGAGTGGGTGTCGTTTTGCCACTGCGACTGCATCACCCTTGAGGTCCGATACTGCCTTTCTCATTGTATAAACTGACTAAAAGAATCGAGTATTTGTGGGGCAGTGTAAAAGCAGTATAGCTGTCGAGGGGTGGGAGTGAGAAGTAAACATTATCGGAGCTGCGCGCCGAACCGACCCTTCAGTCCTTCGTTTCACAGGCGAAGGACCGGAGTAAGGAACAGAAAGCTCAGTTACACGCATGTTACGTGTTTCGTAACAGGCCTCGAGTACCCTGAGGGCGCACAGAGTAGTTTATTGGTTACAAGCCGGGTAAATGCGAATATGTCTGGTGGTGTTATAACTACACACTGAAGTTTTACGCCAAAAAAAAAACATAAGGACAAAGAAGGGAGACAACTCGTGTTTTCTTGCGTTGTCTCGTACTTGTTGCCCCTGTTTCTTTTTTTCTTTTTTGGCGTAAAACCTTAGTTTGCATCAGATCCAACGAGCCCAACTTGTAGTCTTAATTGTACGTTAAATGCTATGCTGCAATAAAAAAAATGATTTCATTAAGCATTAAGTTATAACTCCTGTTAGAGAAAAAGGTAATGTCTTTAGGGTTCGAGGTGTAATTTTACTCAGATTGAATTTATCGAATAATTCTTAACTTCTGCGTGACCCCGCAAGTGCAAAACAAATATTTGTCGGGCAGACCCGGACAAGATCAGGTTTTTGAAGTGTCGGCTTACCCTATCTCATTAAGGTAGGTGAAAAGTTCCAGGGGTTCCACCTTGATGGTCTGCGTTCGAGTGTTAGTAACCTGGGTCGGCTTGCCTGTGTGTTCGTCAAATGAAGAGTCAGGATCATTCGTGTGTTTCCAATTTCAACTCTCAGACACTTGAAGAAACAAGGTACCGTGGGTTATATTGGTGTCATTTGTAACAATACTCCACTGACAGTCATGGTCCTTTACAGTAATAGATGGAGTCGCACATCCCCTACTTTAATCCATGGGCTGGCAACCTCTTTGAAGCGGCGGGCCAAGTCGTCAAGAAGCCGACACGGAGGTTGGCCAAACTGCAAGCCGCGAAGTGCTCCCTGTTCGCGTCTATAGCCCCATTTGATCTGAAAACTGCCGTGCACTCTTTGAGTTTGTGTGAGGAAGAGACAAGGGGGAGCAGAGGGGGGGGGGGGGGGGGGTCTTTTCTGTTGTTGAGTTGGGGACCGCATGACACTAACTCAGGCGCCGCATGCCGACCCCTCTATTAATTTATACCATTCTCTCGTTATATTTTTTTTAAGCACGGACAAAGGCGCTGGTAAGTTGTACGCTCTAAAGGTTTGCGTGATCTAAAAGCACCAACCGTTCTTGAACTCGATTTCCAGTGTGTCGGGATCATTCGGAGCTTCCTTGGGGTCTGTAGTCATCGAATAGAGACTTTCCGGAGCAGAGAGGTACGGATCCTCCAGTATGCCAGACTCGTAGCTGAAACATAGCAGAAAATAAAATCATCAGGATCATTGGAAGAATCAAGGCGAGTGCGAAATCACCGCCAATTTTGTAACGTCACAAACCGTAATAATCTACCAGGTATGCACAAAAAATCCAGTTTATTATTATTTTTTTTATGCATAAGTGAACGTTTAAGCTTTTCCGAAGCGGGAAGTTGGATTGTTCTGCCGCAGGGTCTCCCGCCGAAAGGGAAGCCCCTGCGATGAAGGCAGGATGTGGAAGCTTTTTGCGCTTTGATGCCTATTGGCGACGTGAGCGAACGAAAGCGTCGCTGTCGTCGGCCTACCACAATTGGCCGAATGCTGTTTATGACGTCAGCAAAGGATTGATTGATTGAAACGTTTATTTAATTTCCATGCCTCTGGTCTATGGAACCTCATGTGGCATGGGGGAAGGGGGAGTGGGAGAGGGGTAGTGATGGGATGGTGATGGATTAGACGTACCGTCCGATCCCGGAGGACCGGAGGTAGGAGATGATTGATGCGAAGATGAGATCTCGTTCTGCGGGTGCTGAGGTTCTCGGATGCGTCCATTCCCGAAGGGTCATTGGTCTAAGGTGCGGCGGTAAGGTGTTAATTGCCGCTATCCGTTCTAGTGACGTCCCTTCACAGGACCATACAAGATGGTAGCAAGTCGCAGGGAAACCGCAGTGTGGACATCCAGGGTCAGGACCTGTGTCATTCTCATCTGTTGACTTGTAGAACTTGGCACGCCAAGAGGGAGTCACCATAGTCCGAGTCTGGAGCCTGTGTAGTGCGACTTGCTCCCATCGTGGAAGCCCGCGAGGGATCGGGTGGGGGTTAGAAGGTAGGAGCGCTGCAAGGCGCGCTTTTCGTGCTCTTTGTTCTTCCTTCTTCTTTTGCGTTAGATCAAAGCCCTCGTCAGGTGGAACGTCCCGTTGAACGGGCGAGGGGACCGGGCCTTGTGAGGGCTGAGTATTTGCCTGTAGCAGTGCCCTCGCGGCCCCGTCCGCCCGCTCGTTCCCTGGAACGCCTGCGTGGCCCGGTATCCACGCGATGGTGATTGTTTGTCGAGCCGCGGCTTGACGAACCAGTTCGCGGATGCGCGCAACTGTAACGTTGCATGTGCTCAACTGCTGTAGTGCACGCATCGCCTCTTGGGAGTCGGTGTATATTCGAGTTTCTGTAGTTTCTGCTCGTGGCATGTTCGTGGCTGTTTCAACGGCGAACGAAACTGCCAGAAGTTCAGCCATGCAACTGCTCCGTGTACATGCGGTAAGCTTGTGGTTCGTCTCTTTGCGTGTAGGGGAATGCCAGGCAATCGCAGTGCGGCCGTTGTTGTCTCTCGCCGCGTCCGTGTAGAAGACATCCACGTGCGCGGCAAGCTTGCTGACTTCAGCGCGGTGGATGGCTACTTGTGTAGCACGTCGTCCAGGGTGATCAGGTCCTTGATGACTTGGGAGGGGCTTGATGGGAGTGACTGCCTCTGCATCCCAAGGTGGCGTCGGTGTAGGCATGAGTGGGCCGTCAATTAGGTCGGAACGGCCAATCGAGGCAAGAATAATTCGCCCGTGAGGAGTGCGAGATAGCCGCTGAGCTTGGCTTATCCGCATCTCCTCGGCAATCTCACGGATGGTGTTCATTTGAGCGGTCCTTTCTAGCTGTTCAACCGGTGTGAAGCGGGGGAGCCCTGTAACGACCCGCATGGCCGCTCTCAGCATGGTTACTAGTGTGGTTTCTTGAGTATTTGTAAGGCGGAGGTAGTTCAGTCCGTACACTACCTTCGAGATTAGGAGGGTACGGACGAGTCGCCGGAGGAGATCATCCTGTGCACCCCAGGCCTTGCTCGAGATAGCCTTGAGCAAGTCTAGGCCCTCCTTCCACTGCGATTTTACTCTATTTCTCATCGACGGAAATAAGAGGAATGTAAGAACTTCAGTTTTGACGGTGTTGGCAGTGTTGCTTTGAGAGCGCTATGATTTCAGGCTTCCACCATGCCCATTACAAACACCATCGAATTTGTTGTTCACAAGGTAATGACGTCACGAAAGGTAACCGAACGAGGGCGCCACCGAAACATCTCGCCGCTAATACGCTATACCTCAATAGTAAAAGGTTAACAATATTGTTACCAAGAAAAATGTAATGTACGTTACCTTGAAGTTACTTTTCTTTAATTCGGAAAGAAAATTGCTCATAAAGAATCGCAAGGCGTTGCTATTACCTTTCGTGTTTCGTTCTTATCGGCTAATCTCGTTGGCTCGCGTGGCCCTGGGTTTTCTTAAAGGGATACTACAACGAAATTTCGGAACTTTTTTCTTGGTCTATTCGTGTTGCAGAAAGCAGCATCACATCAGACACACCAATTTCTCGTTGAAGAAGAAACGAAATTTTAAAACGAATTAAACGGTTAGAAAAGAGCACCCGGTGGATGTCGCTAACGCCTCATTTGTAATGCGAATCTAGGAAGCTTGACAGGTAGTGACGATAACTGTCTCGCCTCCGGCCACCAGGAGAGAAGACGGGGAGGAAGAACTCCCCTCTACCCGAGACTCTCTTTTGTATGTCCCAGACGTCGCTACTCTCCCTCTACAAGATTACAGAACATTAACCCGTCACTCCGAATTTGTACAAAAACCAGCTTTGGGGTTAGTTGCGGTGGCCCCTGGCGTGCACCGGCGGCTTGGTGCCTGGAACGGCTAGGACCGTTCCAGCCACCAATAAATGATAGAAAGGACAGCGTGTGCACACTGTCCTTTCTATCATCTATTGGCAGTGTTACCGAGGCTGTAAGGCCCACCGCAAGAGGCCAGCTAGACCATCTGCAGGTTTCAAAATAGAATCCCTCGCAATATTTATCCACTTTCCACAGAATTTCTATAGAAAACAGTGTATATAGGCTACAGATATTCTAAAAAAAAATTCATGCTCTTTTCTATCCACTGTCTATAGCTTTTTGGTCGCTTTTTCCTGTAGATTTTGTGGAAATTAGCGTATAGTGATATATTAAATTTAGGTTTCTCACGATACATTCATGAAAACATGCACTCGCCACCTGCCATGTACACATGCGGAGACATCACAAATACACACGCCAACCAGTAATTCAGCAGTGTTGAGTTGACTGCTCCACCGCTATGCGCACCCTTCACTTTACGATGCTAGTCTATAGAAGTGCCATTGAAATATGGCGACAGAAGTCTATTGAGGCATGGTGATAGAAATTATATAGCATTTCTATCATCTGTCCGGTATAGACTTTGGTTGAAGGAAATTCTATAGAAAGTCTATTTAAAATCGTCGATACGACGTTATGGGATAGGAAGTTGAAACAGTACGTCGTTAAAATGTGGATAGGATTTCTATAGACAGCCTGAAATATCTTTTGTAAGAGAACGAGAGCGGGTGGGTTTGACGGCACCAATCAAAGCAATCCGCTCCCGCTGTAGCGTTCATGCAGCCGAAGCGCGATCTGCTGTACCGTAAGAAACTCGCGCTTGTAGTCTTGGCGCTTCTTGGCGCTTGGTTCGTAACAAAGTGAGATCGACTATAGAAAACAAACATCCATAAAAGACGATGGCGTACAGTATCCTTCGGTACCCAAATAATGAAAGCAAGTGCTTGCTTGTGCGTCGTTCTCCTTAGTTAAGACCAGCGCGAAGAAAGAGAGAGAGAGGTACTCGCCTCACGTGCATGATGTTGGCGTCCATGCTCCAGGGAGCGCTTGGCGTCACTGGGAGATCGATGTGGTGTTTCTAAAATGAAAGTGTCAACAGTACGCGAGAGGCAGATTTTTTTTTTTGTAATGTTCGTTTGAGAATTACACTTTTTATAGACATACACAAGAAAGCTTAGAAATATACGAAGCTCTTTTTGTTGTTCTTTACTAAAAGTAACCAGGGTTATAACACCGTTGAATATATGATCATCGTGTGTACGAATTTGTCCATGGGAGCTGTAAAGCAAGACCTCCTCAATATTCAGCAGGTTAGAGCACTGGTGGAAGGAGACAATGGAAAACTGAAATTGGTAAAAGCAACTAGCACAACTGGAGACAGGGAGGACGGAGCAAAATTGGGACTCCCTCCCGCGTGGCTCCGGCCCAAAGTCTGAACCCTGTCTCTCGGTGGGTCTAGGTTTAAGAAAGAACCCCAACAAGGTTGACCAGAGGAAAATTGACGCCTCCTTCGCCGGGGGGAGAAGGCGAGGGTTCGTTTTCCTTTTTTCTTTTTCTTTTGTATTCGTCCGATCCCCCAAAGATCAGCCTAGTGGTTCATTCCCCGGCCCAGTGATAGTTGCATGGGATGTAGAGAGAAAGAATTTGGGTTTTTAAGTAAGGGAGGAAATCATTTTCTCATGCTAGGTGGCGCAAGCTACCGCCCGTTACAAAGGGCATAGCCAATATCAGCCATTCATCCATCCACGACCACGTCACTTGGAGCGCGCCTATGCGGAGCGCTGTCCCCTGATGTGGCCGATAGTTTTGCGCCGTCCCAACAGAGCGCCTTTACTCAGCTGTTTAAGGCGTGCTCGAAATGCTCGGGGTAATGGTTTGCTTTCGCCCCATTATTTAACACGAATTCACCGAACAAAGGACACTATACTCTCAAAGCACCCCTTTACTGAATAAACTTTTAGTCGAGTTTGAGACTTTGTCCTCTCATCACCTTTTTCTCTTCCACGGTTGATGTTTGCTTCTCTCCCCAGTCTCGAGTAATTCAACAAAATGAAAAGATAGTCACATTTGCGATTAATGACCTTAAGCCATTCGTCCTGGGTCGCGGTTGTGGAAAATTTGTGCAACCCAACACCCACTGGTTTCCCCCGTTCCGATTCACAAAACGGTACGCAACAGTCAACGACCGCGTTAACGTTAGATCTTCGCTTACATCAGTGGGACGCGAATAAAACCACAAAGATGTTGTATGCTATTCCTGAAAATACTCACAGATAACGGGAACGCAGCTCGCGCTGTCGACGTGGGCCGCGGACGCCCTCGTGCAAAGCAGAATCAGAACCACGAGCAGAACAGCTGAGGTGCACCGCCACCTCTCGGCAGAAATGCGAAACAGTACGGCCTCTAGGCGCACGCTGTGGCACTCACGTGTGACGCGGTCCGCGGAGCCAGGAGACACGGGTCTGTATACTACGTCTCAACAGAAACGCAGATGTTACGTGATTGACGTGTTTGTTACGTAAGACCATCGCCATCGACGACGTCTTGACGCATAGCGCTGTCAAAATGGCGCCGACGGGCTGTAAAGGCAGCTAAAAGGCACAGGCAACAACTGACCTTGGCGTATTCAAAGAGGTCCTGGCGGCCCTTGAACCTGTTGTAGAACTCAGGCATCCGCCACGGAGCTATCACCTGAGCAGGCACGTACGAGAAATGATTAAACCGACAACTCGGCAACGCTATTGTAAAGATGAACAGTCGCCAGCTTGCGTTAACTAATATTGCGAGTATTTTTATGATGTCATTAATAAGAGCAGCTCACAGACGCGCTAAATGTTGCACGGCAACTTCTAGCTGCCAGATGTGTCGTCTCAGTTGCTACCAGAAGTTGTCAAAAGTAGCTGCTAATGTATGTACCACTTACAGCCCGATCAGGCATAATATCCGTTTTTCTTTTGCGTAAAAGAAGTGGATTGCCCACGAATATATTTTAGAATTTCCACATTCACAAGGAAAATTGATTTGTTAGAATAAGGCGAGTTAGTGTGTGGAATTAGAGCTCGACGCTTTATTAGCGTTATTAGCCGCCTTTTAGGTTAATGATGTAACACGTATTTCTAGTGACCTGTCAAAGCTGCTTTTATAAAGCGCGACTTTTGTCACGCCAATTTCGACCTGACAGATCTTCCTGTAATGCCTAAAAAGCGGTATATGAATGTCGCGACTGTTCTTGACAAGGCGTGGAACGCCTGCGAGTAACGCTTAAGACGACATCTTAAGAAACGCAGGGTGTGTGTCTAGCATCCCATTATCCCTCCGAGCCAATGAGATGTCAGTAATGTCACCAAAGAACAAATCACAAGGCGAGAAGCTTCAGCATAATAAGCCCCGAGTTTCTTGAGACATGTCAGTGACGAGAGAGACATTAAAAAAGTGGCGCTTTTTAACGATCACTTTAATTGACACAGTGTCCCTTAATAAGGGACACAAAACACCCCCGAAATTTTTATTTTTATTTTTTACCAGGCAGTTTATTATGGTGCAGGAAGACTACCCAATCAATATTTTGCTACAGCGTAACGTATATTTTGAAAAAAAGCCAAAAAATGCAATTGCTCGAAACCGAAACCGTAACTGGACTGGGAGAAATATGGAGAAGAAAATTGCCAAAACGATGTGCAATTTTTTTTTTTTTTTCAATCAGCATAATTGCAGTTTCTTAGAAGTCACAAAAAAAAAAAAAATCGGTATAAAATTTTTTTTTTCCCTTTCTAATATTGAGCGTGTGCTTTCGATGACCCACGGCTTTAAATAAATTTGGTGGTTGTGTCTAACTCTAAATCGTAGAAAACGGCACGGGACCACCAAGAAGAGAGTGAGCGCGATTGAAACCGGCCAGTGCTCGATCGGCGATTTTCGAGTGGAAAGAAAACGAATTTCGAGCCGCAATTCGTGTTCTGGGTAGTGGGGCTCTCACGTGTCATGCACAAATAAAAAAACTTTGCGTGCATAAATACCCTGTATGTGTCCCTTTAAGTTTGACTTTGCACCAACACCGGCGTGACGTTTAAGCCGATGACTAACGGCTTAAAACAATGGCAGGTTTTACGCCAATGGCCGTTGCCAGACAGCCAAGGCACATCGCTTTGCTTGGCATTCTGTCCAGCGTGCTTTTAAACTTGACGTTAGTTTCTTCTATACGTCGAAGCCGACGGGCATGGTTGTAAAAGCCGTCCAAAATATACCCTAACATACAGTTACGGGCTGTTGTGCTCTAAGGTGCGTATCTAAACACTCAACCTAAACTTGCTGATGCAGCGCAGTCACTTCAAATGTGCGAGCTTGTTCTTTATTTATATATATATATATATTGTTACGGGTAAACCAAAAAACCGCCGTTCCAGTCTCGTTTCTTCGTCTTCTTCTACCCTTAGTCCACCTCTTCTACCTTCACCGTTACACTCGCCCCTCCGGTGCACTGGGCTGTCCGTCTCGGACAGAAGCAACATGTTCATCGCGCGTTACGTAAAGTTTCAGTTGGCCAACGTGAGCAGTGAGAGTCCGGTGTCTACCTGGTTGAGGTAGCGTCCGAAGCTTCTCGAGGCGATATGTTACCGGACCGAGCTGTTTGCATATTTTAAAGGGTCCGCAGTACCTTGGCATTAATTTCTCTGATTGCTGTGGGCGTCTGAAATGACTTCGAAGAAGCACTAAGTCTCCCGGATTCAACGACGGTCTCCCATTTACTCTTCTTAGACGCCCTGCATGTAGCGACTGCTTGTGAAGGATGGCCAGTCGAGCTCTTTCCCTTGCTTCGATTAATCGGGCGGAAAAGTTACCATCATAGTCTTCTGCCCGGCGGGTCCATGTCATCTCGATTGCTGTCTCCTCTGGAAGCGTGGGGAGTCTCCCGTAGACTAGTTCAAATGGCGATTGACTCGTCGTTTCTTGTTGAGACGTGTTTAGTGCAAACGCGGCTGTGCAGACGTATTGGTCCCAGTTCTTGTGGGACGCGTTGACGAATGCTGCCATTACATCGACCAATGTGCGGTTGGTGCGCTCGACAAGACCATTTGTTTGAGGGTGGTAGGGTGAGGCCGCTGCATGTTGAATCCCGTAATTTCTAAGGGTATCCTTGAAAGAACGCGACATGAACGACGTTCCTCTGTCAGAGATGATCATCCTTGGAGCTCCGTGCCGACACACTAGATGGTTATTTACGAAGCTGACAAGGTGCACCGCTGACGTATCGGGAACTGCTTTGACCTCAACCCACTTCGTTAAGTAGTCGGTCGCCACAATAATGTGCCTGTTGCCAGTATCTGATTTCGGGAAGGGACCAAGGTGATCTATTCCCAATACTTCGAATGGACTCCTTGGGGGTGGTATCTGTTGAAGGTCTGGTTTGCCTAGGTTCGGTGGCGTTTTGCGCATTTGACAAACGGTACATGAGGCGACGTACCGCCGAACGTCGTTCCTCAAACCCGTCCACCAGAATCTTCGCAGGATCTTGTCCAGCGTTCGATGCTGTCCGAGATGCCCTGAGGTCGGAGCGTCATGGCACATCTCCAAGATATTTTTCCTAGCTTTCTTGGGGACAACAGGAAGCCATGGCCCTGAAGCACGTGAACGATGGCAAAGTAGACCATCTTGTAGCTCGTAATGTTTTCGCAAGCAACGTAGTCGTCGTGTAGAAAGCGAAGAAGAATCGTTGCTTCCGACCGTAAGCAACTGAATTATTTCCGATGCTTCAGCGTCTTCCGATTGCATGTGTTGCAGATCTAAGATTGAAGACACAGGGAGAACTTGTAGGTCCTCTACCGGATTACGTGACAAGAAATCAGCATCTTGATGGTACCTCCCACTCCGGTGAACAATACAGAAGTCGTACTCTTGCAGCTTCATGGCCCATCTTGTTAACTTCGGGGTAAGGTCGCTCTTGGATTGAAGCCACCGCAATGCTACGTTATCCGTGACCACCGTGAAACGCTTGCCATAGATATAAGGGCGAAATTTTTCTACAGCCCACACCACCGCGAGACATTCCAGTTCGGAAGAGTGGCACCGACTCTCTGGTTCACTCAGCTTCCTGCTTGCATAGGCGACGGGTCGTTCCCGACCATCCCTATCTCGCTGAAGAAGGACGGCACCTAACCCTTCTCCACTGGCGTCTGTGTGAAGGAACGTTGGGGCGTCCTCCACAAAATGTGCAAGCGTAGGCGGTTCAAGGAGGGATCTTTTCAAATCCTCAAAAGATGCAGCTTCGTCTTTGCCCCATTTCCACTTGGTGTCTTTTTTCAGAAGTTGGTTCAAGGGAGCAGCTTTAGCAGAAAAGTTACTGACGAAGCGACGAAAATAAGAGGCAAAACCAAGAAAACTCTTCAGTTGCTTTATGCTAGTGGGTGCGGATATGCTGGCAAAGGCTGATAGCTTCGCCGGGTCTGGCCGAATTCCATCTTTGCTGACCACGTGACCAAGGTAGGTTACTTCACTGTACCCGAAAAAACACTTGGATGGGTTTAGACGTAGTCGAGCGTTCGTGAGGGCGTCTAAAACAAGACCTAGACGTTGCTGATGTTCGTCGAAACTGTCGGCATAGACGATTACATCGTCTAGATAGACTAATGCCATGGTCCATTTTAGACGGCCGAGAACCCTGTCCATGAGACGCTGGAAGGTCGCCGGCGCATTACACAAGCCAAATGGTAAACGCCGGAACTCAAACAGTCCGTCGGGTGTCACAAAGGCTGATTTTTCAGCGTCGTTTGACTCGAGTTCAACTTGCCAGTATCCTGAAATGAGGTCTAATGTCGTGAAGTATTTGCAACCCTGGAGCCGATCGAGAGCATCATCAAGCCGAGGCAGGGGATACACATCGGGCTTAGTAATGCTGTTTAACTTTCTGTAGTCTATACAGAACCTTGTCGAGCCGTCCTTCTTCTTGACGAGCACGACGGGTGATGACCATGGGCTGTTGGAGTGTGCCACTACGCCTCTCCGGAGCAAATCGTCCACTTGAGCACTGATCTCCTGTCTTTCGGAGATCGACACTCGTCGGGGTTGGTGATGTATTGGCGCGTGGTCACCGGTGTTGATGGTGTGGCGAATTAAAGGCGTACATCTCAATTCTTGCTTTGTAATGGCTATACAGTGACGGAACGTTTTGAGTAACGACTGTATGGACTCCCTCTGCGTTGCTGTTAGGTCTGGTCCAAAGTTAAATTCAGTCCACGGAATGTTGTCATCCTTGCTGAGTCTGCTCTCTGGGGTGGGTACCACCGGAGAACACGCAACGGTTGCGATCATGGTCTCTGGCAATATTTCAAAAGCTATTCCTAAACTTTCACCTCGCTTAAGGTGAATGTCATCAGTGGTCAAGTTAACTACTAGAATGTTAAGGGCACCTCGTCTCGAAGAGATAAGGGAGCGAGGTGTTGCAAATTCAGTCCCAGGTTGTGAGTGAAGAACCGCTTCGACTAAAAAATCTCCTGAACGCCGATTACCCTGAATCGACGATTGAACCCAGACCGCTGAAGACTTCGGAATCGTTACGTCTAGCGTGGAGACGACTAAGCAGGTGGAGGGATCGTGGGTGAATTTTAGAGGTAACAGAGGATAGAAAACTTTCACCCATGTTCGACAGAAAACTTCAACCGATGTTCTGGCTACCAGTTGGATGTTACCCGAAAGTATTTGGAAACACTTAGCCAGGTGCAGCAGTAGACAGTAGAAGTAGTAGAAAAATGTACTAGGTTGTTTAATGTACGGCTTGGGATCATCACAATGGATCGAGGGAAACGTGTCCTCCGACGTCATCTGGGACTTAGACGGCTGTGATAACGACAAGGCAGCGTGGCCACGTGCAAAGGATACTAGCAACTCCACCTCGGAACACCAGTCACACCCGAGAATGACTTGTGGGTTTAAGTTTTCCACAATAAAAAAAACAAAGATTTACAGTCCTGCCCAGTGCTTCGACGGTCAATTCGCAACGCCCCAGGTAGGGTATGAGAGTACTGTTTGCTGACACCAGTCGAGTGTCCTTAGAGTCAGTGGCCGCTGCCGCGTGGTCCGTCGATCGCAGCAAGGCAGCATCAATGACGCTCACACCAGCCCCCGTGTCTATAATGGCATCGACTGGTTGCGTGACTCCGTGTATTAGAATTGAAAGGTGAGGTGTAAGCGACCTGCTCACCGACGCTGCGGCCAGGGGGACTTCGTGGATTACGCGGGACCCTGCCCCGTCGGGCCCGCGTGGGTGTTTTCCTGACGTTGAGAGGTTGGACTCGGGCACGAGCGAGCCAGGTGTCCTGGACGTCCACAGTTGAAGCAGTGGCGCCAGTCAGGCCTACGACGCCTGTACTGCGAGTTGTCGGGTAGAGGATTCTGAATCGTCGGTCGGACGGTAGAGGTGGTGGCTCTGTTCGCCGCGTCCATTTCCAGCGCGTGACCGAGTGCAGCGCTGAGTGTGGTAGGACGAGCGAGCCGCACAAACCGCTGAATTTCGGTGTTGTGGATGGCATCAATGAAAGCTGATGTAGTCATCAGGTGAAGCGTGGCTTCGGAGCACCCTAGAAGTGCTTTTCTTGCCAGTCTATCGATAGTGTCGGCCAGTTCTTGGAGTGACTCTGTGCCCTGGCGATAGGTTTTGAGTGACGTGAGATGTAGCTGCTGTAGATGGGCATCATTAAAACGAGCTTCTAGTGCTTGCAGAAGGAGCTCATACGTGGTTCGACTTGAATCCGGTACACTTTCAAGGAAGTCGGCGGCCTTCCCACGGAGCTGGGCGACCAGGGCTGCAGCCTTGCCTTGGGAATGCCACCCATTGTGTTGGGCTACTGTTTCGAATTGGATGATAAATGCGCGCCAAGATCCAAGTCCATCAAAAGTTGGAGGTTTGAGACGCATACCATCGGAATGTAGATGAGCAAGTCCAGCCTGGGGTCTCTCAGCTTCGTCGGGTGGGCGGCGACATACGGTCGATGGCTCTTGAACTTGTGGAAGGTCACCTGAGTCTCCTGGTCGCATGGTTGGGAGAGCTTCTTCAAGGTGCTGCAGGCGGTCTTGTACAGACGTGAGGTGGTGGTGAACCTCGGTGAGGCGTTGGTTCACGTTCTGTTCAACGTGAGTGACGCGGGCGGCGAGGCGACTGTCGAACTGTTCAAGCAGAGCTGCGGCATCTGTCGCGCTCTTCTCTGCTAACCGGTTGTAGAGCTGTTCAGTAAGCTCGGCCCACGGCGTCTCCGCTGTTGCTGCGTGGGAGCGGGTATTCATGCTGTTTGGAAAACCGCTGCCACCATTTGTTACGGGTAAACCAAAAAACCGCCGTTCCAGTCTCGTTTCTTCGTCTTCTTCTACCCTTAGTCCACCTCTTCTACCTTCACCGTTACAATATATATATATATATATATATATATATATATATATATATATATATATATATATATATATATATAACGCTGAGATACCTTCTTTAACTTACTCAGTTGAAAAACACAATAAGACAAAGATACTCCTAATTTAATCTCAAAATTTCGAAGCCTTGGAAGTGATATTCGTTGGCTTTACAGAAAAGCTCAAGAAATTCGTTTTCGTCGATCCTCTTCTTGGATGGAAGCGCCCTGCAGCCAATCTACCAAGCCCGTTCACCTTACCCCGGATGCTTCGTACAAAGGTGCTTCGCAGGCACGTAGCCAGGGGGGAGGCCCATGGGGCCCGGCCCCCCCCCCCCCCCCCGAAATCTTCTATTTTGCTAGGACCTCCTCTCCCCTCTCCCCCTCATATAGCATTTTGTCATGAACAGGCAGGCCCCCCCCCTCCCCCCCCCCCCCCCCCCCCCCCGAAACAAAATCCTGGCTACGTGCCTGGTGCTTCGTCCCATTTATGTCATCCAAACTGCATTTTACTCTCAGCACCGCAGTCTTCTGCTATGATTCCACAATTCGGAACTCTCACGTATTGATACGAGTCCTTTCTGTTTAGACTGGAGATACCAAAGGGTCACCCTCAAAAGAGCCGTAGTGTCAAACTGTCACAACAAAAACCAGTAGCTTTGATGCATGAAAAGTACCTCGAATTGCATTTACTCGTATTTACGGTGACTGACAGTTCAAGTAACAAGGGGCGTGGCGAATTCGAGTATCTGATATTCTTGCTACGCAGTCAATGAGATTGCAACTATAGCTGATTATATACTAAGCGGCTGTCTGTAGACGTTTGCAAGCACGGCTTCTGGGCGCCGCCATCTTTCTGCTGGTCTGGGTAGATCGTCTGATAGTTGAGCATTACTCGACTATCAGACGATCTACCCACACAAGCAGCAAGATGGCGGCACCCAGAGGCCGTAGTTACAAACGTCTATAGGCAACGAAAATACAGCCATTGCGCAGGCAAACTGGTCCAAGTTTACCACGATGTATTTTAATCCGAGGGGCAGAAAGAGAAAAAAAACTTTGACAGTGGTCGTTTCTAGCACCGTCAAAAATGATTTCCTTCTTCTGTCCCAGTCTCGGGTTAAATGCACCGCCCTGCTGACGGGGCATTCGCGACAGGCGGCTAGTGGGCGGGAGAGGGCACCAGGACGTCCGGCTTGAGCGCGGCACAGGCCAGCTCGAAGCGTATCTGGTCGTTGCCCTTGCCCGTGGCCCCGTGGGACACGAACTTGGCGCCTTCTGCCGTGGCCACGGCCACCAGGGCTCGCGCAATGCACGGCCTAGCCAAGGCGGTGCCCAGCAGGTAGCGGTCCTCGTACACGGCCCCGGACTGGACGGCCGGGAACACGAAGTCCGACACGAACTCGGCGCGCACGTCCTTCACGATCACCTGCACGGCGAGGCACCATGCAGCGCCCGCACAGGATCACGTTCGGGGTGTACGGAGTTCTCGCTACGTAATCCCAGACATGAATACGTTACTGAAAGAAAGTAACTGAATACCGTTTTTCGCTACTCACTCAAAAATGTAACTGTTACCGTAGATTCAAAAGGAACTCGTCACCTCAGCTCGCAAGGAACGCGTTATTGTTTCGTTAGTCTGAATGTATCGTTTGTAGGAAGTAGCCACTTGCATTGTTAGTCGTTAATAATTCCTTTATTCTAACAGGTTCATTCAGGGATAACTGTGGCTATATTGACATACCCTGTGCAAATCTTTTTATGGTCTATCTCTAGCGTTTTCTCGTCGCGCAAATTACAGGCGCCAGCTGGGATGAGAACCAGGTTGGATACTTGCGTTCTATGCGTTCCCTTCTAGAAACAGCTAAATACCGTTACTCGTTACTTCATCATAAAGTAGAGAAAATACGTTACTCATCCGTTCTTTTAAAAGGTAACTCTGTCGTTCTTTCGTTACCATAAAAGTAATTAGGTGCGAGTAACGCGTAAGGTCCGTTCACACACATGAGACTGCTTACAACCGGAGAGGCAAAAAACCGTTTTTAAGCCCTCCGTGACGGTTTACGACCGCAGCAGCACAGCCGGTCGTAAGCCCGTCACAAGAGGCTCATAAACCGGTCGTGTCGTGTCGAAGTCGGTCGTAGTCAAACGAGCTTTCATGTACAAGTCCAAGGCGGTCTGAGGCAGGCCGCCTTGGTTAACCTCTCTGTTTTCTCCTCCTGCCCTTATCTTCTTCTTCTCTATGTCTGTTTTCCCAGATCCTAGCGCATAACAGCTTCGCTGTTATACGCTAGGATCTGCGAAAAAAATGCGTCCGCGGATGTTGACAGAGAACTCCCCATTGGTCGTGGCAAGTATGAGTAAATAAAAATAAAAAGAGGGGGGCAACCAGCGTGAGTCAGCTTTCCTTAGCATTATTAGATAGTGAGGTCCTCATCCCTTGTTATCATCTCTAGGCATCATCCTCGAGGTCGTCCTAGAAGTCGTCCGAGAGGTCGTCTGAAAGGTCGTCCTTGAGGTCGTCTCAGACGTTGTTCTCGAGGTCGTCCTAGAACTTGTTCCTGAGGTCGTCCTAAACGTCGCCCCCTAAGCATCGTCCTCTAGGCAACGTCCTAGACGTCGTCCCTAGGCAACGTCCTAGACGACACAAAGATAACAGCTTCGCTGGTCCTCCATCTTCACGTGAAGTGGAAGGGCATTACAATTTTTGTTCAGAAGCGCGTGAAAGAGCGTGTCCCTGCACTCGTTCGTGGCGCTGACTGCCAGCTGTGCTACTGCGACATTTTCTTCTCGACGATTTTTTTTGTATTTAGCTTGTGAGCGCGTGCTGTTGGCATCGGGTACTACAAAGGATGGCATCACCCTAAACAGAAGGACATTGAGACACCCTAATTTGCGCGAGAACGTGTGCAAATGATCTACGAGATCAAACTTCATGCTCGCGCAAGCAAACTTGACAGCGCTGTACCCAGCCTATAACTGTTTTCACCAGGGCTAGCTGTGGGAAACAAGCGAACGCACCTTTTTCGCCCCTATTCCCAAAGCTTTCTTCTCGGCTGCCTGGAAGTCCTCTTCTTGGCCCAAGTCCGCCTTGGAAACAAAGCAACGAGACGTTTAGAAAGAAAAACACAAAAACGAACGGGCGAAAATGAAAATATCGAATTATTCAATGCCCTTGAAGCTTTCGACGGAAATCTACATCACAGGTTTACAGCCGGATGCACGATCAGGCCTCTGTTACGCTCTCTAAGTTCATGTTATTCATTTTTAATCTCTAAAAAAAAAACAAAAAAAACGGTAGTATTACATTGTCCGCACAGATTATTTGCACGACCAAATATTCCTATATTATGCTCAAGACGATTTCCTCTAGCGTTCCTGACAAAAATGATTTGGCAACTCTTTCAAAATTGTATACTGATTTCATTTTTCCCTAGCAGTTTAAAAATTGATGTTTGAGAGACGGAAATGAAATAATCCGGCACAATTATTGAATTTGACCCACTGATCTACTCTTGCCTGCTGAACACAGCTAGAGCCTTTCTCGGTTCCGACATTGAGCACGACGCCAACAACACGTGGAATCTTGGTGTCACAGCGCTGACTGCACTTTTAAGGCGGGAGCACCTTGCGACCGCTTACGACCGGAGATGCTAAAAACGGGTTTTAAATTCTCTCGTCACTGCTTACGACACTCGGTTGAAAACCGCCACCCTGCTGCCCTGCCCGTTGTAAGCAGTCAAAAGCGGCAGCCGGTTGTGCCGGAGTTCGTTTTTAACGGTCTCCGACACAACCGGTTGTTTCACAATACTGCCAGCCCTGTCGAGGGCCAAGGTATAAACATGGAAATCAAATACAACACTGCTTTCAAATATCGACATTCAGAGCAATCTTTAAGAACTGCACCCCAAAGATATGAACTCACCAGGCACGAAGCCAAAAGGGTAGCCCGAGGCCCGCACCCCCCCCCCCCCCCCCCCCAAATCCTCAGTTTTGCTGAGACCTCCTCTCCCCCCTCCCCCGTCTTCATCTATTATAATTTTGCCATTGGCGCCCCCCCCCCCCCCCCCCCCCCTCTCCCCGAAACGAAATCCTGGCTTCGTGCCTGGAACTCACACAATGCTTTCAAATATTTACATTCAGGGGAATATTTAAGAACAGCACCCCAAAAATATGAGCTCGCACATACGCACGCAAGAAGCGTCACACTGTTACAGTTCAAACTATACGCGTATGGCATTCTCGAGTTCAGAAAGGAATCCCAGTGCAACCACACTATTAGGAAGTTTATTCCACAACTATATATTGCATGAACACAAATCACTGCTTAAAAATAGTTTTACGGGCATCAATGGCAAGCCGCTATAGGCCGGAAGGAGCTCGTCATTCGCCGAGCTCCTTCCCAGGCACGTAGCAAGGGGGGGGGGGGGGGGCATGCCCCCTCCCCCCCCGAAATTTTTCATTTTGCTAGGACCTCCTCTCCCCCCTCCCCTTCATACAGCATTTTGTTATCGGCGGGCGCCCCCCCCCCCCCCCCCCCCCCCCCCCCCGGAAACAAAATCCTGGCTACGTGCCTGCTCCTTGCCATAGATCCCGATGATTGTTCCTCCGATCGTTATGTGGGAAAGTAGGCGAACAGGCCTTCAGGGACACGATCGGGTTTTACCCCGAGGTCCCGTTGCAGCGTAAGGCCCGATCGACATGAACTAGCATTACCATGAAAGCGACCACGTCGTATGCCTCTTCAATGAGCCAGGCCAGGATGCACGAGGTGTCCAGCCCTCCGCTGTACGCCAGCACGACCGTCTTCGCCATCTTGGAAGCCCAGCTACTCGATGTTTCTACCGAATGACTGCGAGATAGAACGACTGATTGACTACCTCGTACCCGCTATCTCGGTTTGTTTATCAGTCGATAAAGGGCTCTCGAATCTCCGCCACGTCTGCAACGGGAGATGTCGAAGATAGGTAACGACATCCCCCTTCTCCAGCGGCGCGTAAACTGTTTTTCTTTGTTTACTGCTCTCCGGCACTCGCCCGCCATCATGATTGTTTCAAGATTGCGAATGCGGTTCAGCTGCCAGTGTGAATGCGGCGTAAGCGCGAACTATCTCCAACTTGTACCCCGATTTGTTATATTGGGCTTTTTGGAAGAATGCCGCTCTGGGTAGAAGACGCTGCGTTGTGTCCCTCTCACTGTTAATTTAGTTTGCTTACTTCAGCGAAGCTCTGAGTCTTGCCACCGTACACAACAAACTTGTCTTCTTTTTTTTTTCTTCATTTTTTTTTCTTTTTTTTTTTTAGTTAAGCATTTACTGCGACGCCACTTACAATGGTGAGACGGGTAGACGAAGAAGCACCCTTCTCAAGGAGCACAGAAGACATGTTGTCAATTCAAGACACGCTACACAGGCGACGTCCGACCTGGTCGATCCTTTCTGCGGTAAGCACCGGCGCAGGGTGACTATTTGTTTCGGCCGGCAAATTTATAAATACACACACTATATATATATATATATATATATATATATATATATATATATATATATATATATATATATATATATATATATATATATATATATATATATATATATATATATATACTCCGCGGTAACGTTTCTTGGCAATGCAGTGGAAGGTACAGGCACGTGTTCCCTCTCTCATTTCGAGCGCAGCAGAGCTGTGCGGCTGTGCTGGCGGTGCGCGGGCTCTCCTCCTCTTCCCATTTCTGGGGAGAGGAGGAACGCCCGCGCACACTCAAAGGGGAGAGGGAATGCAGGCCTGTAACTTCCACTGCATTGCCAAGAAAAATTGTCGCGGAGTATAACATTTACTACATTTGATGCATATTTACAAGGTGCAGCGATAAAATAGAAACTGCAATTTACTTTGACGTGCGACTGAGCCGGCCTTGTGGGTGCGTCGGCTCAGGAGCGCGGGACGAGGTCTACGCCATGCCGTCGACGCGCAGCTGATTATCAGTGTTGGCAAGGTGCTCGAGCCGGTAGTTTTGGTTTCGCTGTGCCGCCGGAACGAAACTTGGATACGCGATATCTACAAAACTACAGGGTGAAACAAGGCTCTTTAAATCGACCGGAAAATTCGGTTTCTTAACCTATCGCGCTACGACTTTGTGCAGCGTTGCCCACAGATGGTGCATTTTTTTTGTGTGTAAAATTTGCGAAGAGCGAACTTACCTGAGGAAAAAGTAAAGAAAGAAAAAGGCTTAGCTCCTATGGAAACGCAGCGACGCCACCGGTCTGCAAACAACACGGCGCCGTTTCGCACGGGAGACAAGAGATGGCGCAAGCGGTCGCGACGCCAACTGCCACCAACGAACGAGCAGACGACGCCGAGAGCCGGCCCTTTTCCAGGCAAGGAACTGCAGTTCCTTACTGTTACCGCGCCTGTCTTTTTTTTTTTTTTCTGCTACTGTCGTGTCCTGCGGAACGCGCGCCGCTTTTTAGTCGAAAAGATTGTCTGCTAAAAAGGCCTGCTCTCGGCGCCGTATGCACGTTCGCTGGCGGCGTTCGTTGCGCCATCTCTTGTCTCCCGTGCGAAACGGCACCGTGTTGTTTGCAGACCGGTGGCGTCGCTGCGTTTCCATAGGAGCTAAGCCTTTTTTTTTTCTTTACTTTTTCCTCAGGTAAGTTCGCTCTTTGCAAATTTTACAAAAAAAAAATGCACCAGCTGTGGACAACGCTGCACAAAGTCGTAGCGCGATAGGCTCAGAAACCGAATTTTCCGGTCGATTTAAAGAGCCTGGCGTCTCCTTGTTTTACCCTGTATAGACACTACCGAAAAACAAATTAAATCTCGCGCAGACTTGTGTCTATCTCAAATACCCTAGTCAAGATGAAGTATTCCAAACACTTTTTGAAGTACAGTTGGGGACAAAAGTCCCCAGGACGCGCGAGCTGCGACTGAAACGCATCGCTCTGCCATCTGCCGGCGGGTCGCCTGGTTTCGAGATCACGCAAAAGCGCATGCGCGTCCTACTGCGCCTGCAAGCATGCGTGTTTTCCCGATTTTCTGCGTCGCGGCGCCTAACTCGAAATCGGGCGCGTGGTACCACCTCGGAGATAGCGCTTACTGACATAGCACTTATGAAGCAAGGAGTCACGGCTGCCCAACTGAGCAATAAGCTCAGCTGGTTATAAAGCAGGATGCGCTGACACGGCGAAATGTGGCGCAATGCCGCACGCGGTATCTCCAGTTTCGGAACGTGTCGCGGACGCTTGTTAGCCGCAAGCGCTATCTCCGAGGCGGTACCACGCGCCCAATTCCGAGTTAAGGGGTGTCCAAACAGGACACTACAAAACCCGCGACTCCGACAAATCGTGAAAATTGAAGCGGACGCTTCAATTTTTACGATCTGTCGGAGTCGTGAAAATGTTTGCAGGAGTCGTGAAAATTTTTACGATCACGACTGCTCTCCTCTTCAGATTGACGTCACATGCCACCTGCGTCTGTCTCACCTCGCCAACGCCCTCGCGTACCGCCGTCGCCTCGGCTCGAAGGCCAAGGAGGTCCCGCTTTGGGTGGATTTGGGACATTCCTGCGTCGAAGGGTGCGTTTCGCCCGCCTCGGATCTGCTTTCTTTGTCGAGATTCACTTTCGTCGTGATGGCGTCCGACGCGGTTCCGTATTGTGAGCGGAGGCCTTGAGCAATTGACCGACAGCCAACAGAGCGTGTGAGTGGCTCTCCGGAGCCACGTGATAAGCAGAGCAAGGCCGCCGTGGAGGAAGCGAGGGGGAGATTTGACGGAGGGAAGTTTCCCCCCGGGAAGAATTGACGGAGGGAAATTTCCCTCCGACGGCCGGAAGCGGATCGCGGCAGAGCGCGGCACGATTTGCCGGAGTCGCGGGTTTTGTAGTGTCCTGTTTGGACACCCCTTTAGGGGCCGCGCCGCAGAAAAGCGGAAAAACACACATGCTTGTAGGTACAGTAGGACGCGCATGCGCTTTTGTGTGATCTCGAAACCAGGCGACCCGCCGGCAGATGGCAGAGCGATGCGTTTCAGTCGCAGCTCGCGCGTCCTGGAGACTTTTGTCCCCGACTGTACCTTGGAAATACTTTAGAACGAGAGTATTTGATACTGTATATTAATTACATTTCTGAGTATCTTGTACTAATTATCTCAAATACATTTTTGACCTTCCGCCATTTTCCGAGTTTCCCGGTATGAAGTGGCGTGGGCGTCGCACGAGCAAACGTGAACATTCAAGCAACTAAATGCTGTTGCTAAACTCCGTTTCAAACATAGCGTGCAATGTAGTCAAAGCTAGCGCGCCGGTTTGCACAGCCGACCGCGACTACGTTCGCTCCACAAAATAGTGCGGCCCCTGAAAAAAACAAAAAGTAGAAAAGTGTACATCTTTGGAGCTAATAACTAATAGTGGCGTTATGATTTCGAGGGAACACCGATTCTTTTTCAATAAAAAGGAAAAGATAATGTAAACTACTCCAAATTATTTTCCGTTTTCGTTCGTGCGGCACTCGCACTCGCTTCGGGTTTTCGGGTTGTGCGGCTGCCCCTGCCTCGCCGGTTTCGTGAAGATGGCGTCTTACGCGGGAAGCTTTCTTTTCCTGCTCGGATATTTTCGAAGATTCGTTGTGTAAAGATCTCGCAAAAGTGCAAGCAGGTGATCGCCAACGTGTACGCGAGTTCAAGAACGTGTTTCCCGGAGACGTCGGTCCGTGAGGTCCTGGAGACGGTCAGTAACGACACCGGAGTGTCTGGCAAGGTGGCGTCCCCGAAGCGAAGACCTCGCAACGTGAAAGTTCCGAGCACGCGGACAGTGTTGTGAACTGCCACCTGTTATTTCTGGTGTTAAAATCGGCCTTATGGCTTCAAAGTGAAACAAGCCTCAAGAAGGAACTGTGTCGGTGATGAATCGTGCCTACGGCTCCGTCTGCTTGCGGGACCTTACAGCAGGCGATGCCCGTGATTGCATTCCGAAGTGTCTGGGTTCTTCTGCCTGCGGGACCGTAACCATGGTCGGCTCCGTCTGCCTGAGGCAGCTTAACCTTGGTCGGCTAAGTAAACGACGCACATGCCCGTGCCTGTATTCCGAGGCCCCTGCTTTCCTCGAAAAGGAAACAACACTCGATCCTGATCTCGAGTGCCGTGTGTTGTGTACGCGTCTATTGTGAATCACTCCCGGTTCATGGGGGCGCCGGCACCAGAGCACCGAGATACTGCCTTCTGGATGACTTCTTCCATACACCGGCGAGTATTCTGACTCTGAAGGAAACTTCCATGAAGTCACATCACGTGAGGGAATGCCAAGCCGTCTGAACAATGGCAGTGCGGTCCCCTAATCACAATATTCGTTATATAAAGGACCGTCCACCACACTCTCAAGGTACTCTCTGATTTTCACGCTACCATGTAAATAAACGGCTTTAAATAGAGACGCCCTGGATCTCGACCGTTCTTCCGTTTTGACGAGGCCGGCGCAAGTTCGAGCGGAACACCAGCCCCTGGTCTACCTTCTTATAAATAAAAATCTACAAGAAAAGAGGAATTGAAATATGTACTTCCGCAATACGCACAATCTTGCACAAAAAATCGGCCGAGGAAAAAAAAAACAAAAAAACAACCTTTGCGCTTTAAGTGGATTCGAACCACCGCCACCGAGATGTCGACATGGCCGGCATCGCCAGAGCAGCGCCTTGTACCGCTCGTCCACGAAATCTCGCGGAGTAACACAATTTTGTGTGTTTTTTCATGCGCACTACTTCAGTAGCTTTCCCAGCGTTGCACGCGATGTTTGAAACGGAGTATAGCTCCGATAAGCTACTGTGACTTAGACTGAGCTCGCGTAAACATCGCTTTTGCGCCAATTTAGCTCATGCTTCACTCGAAAGTTTGTACAATTGAGGCTTTTCCCTTCGCCTTCCCAAAAGCACCTTTTGTTTCCTAGTTTCCCCCTAAAAATCCTCGAGCAAAAGGAGTGAT